ACTAGTGAGTGTTGCTTTAGATGGAATTATTTTCCCAAAGTTCTCCGTTCAAGCTCTGAATATCTTACGACCAGTTCTGCAAATATGCCTGCCCCCGGCTACAATTATCAGCATTGCTCCTTTACTCAGTCTACTCCATCTTGCTTGCTTGTTCCTTTCCCTTGCTTTTTTCCTTTCCCCTACCTCCTAATGAGCTTAGGTAGATTGAAGTTGTAATCAGTTTGATTGGTTGTCTTTAATGAGAATTTAAATTGAACTAGAGACTGAAAGCATTATGGAACGGCAAGTTGCTCAACTGGGACCTTTTAGAGGCATTTCTCATGATCCTGAAGCAGGGGGGCAGCAGGCTGGGATGTGATACTCAGTGCCAGGTCCTTTTGGCTGTGTCTTAGTAAATTTGTAGATGTTGGGGTTTCCGGGACACATAATTTTCTTTGCCCTTGACCTGTTAAGTCAGAAGGGGGATGCATTTGAAGGAGCCATAGTGCTATAGTTCTTCGCTCGACGAGCCATCAGTTCCCTGGTGTCACCCTTCACCCTGGACCTGGAAAAAAGCAGGAAAGGGTATGTTGAAAATGTCTTCCCTCCTGCATATCCCCTCTCCATACTGGCCCTTTACTTGGGCTAGGGAAATACAGGCAGTACCAAGCATAATTGAAGAAATCTCAGCATCCTGCTTATTAAATACAAAAGCTAGAAATGTACATTGAAGAAAGAAGGGGACCCTTTGATGTTCTTTATAGTAAGAATTGAGCTTTCAAGTGTGGAGGCAATGGGGCAGTCGTTGGAGTTATATGAGTAGTTTGTCTTGTTTGCTTATTTTAAAAATTCTTATATCTTAATGGTCAAATAAATACACTGGCATATTTATAGATGGCAATATCTGGCAGTTTTTTTAATGCATACAAGAACATAGGTATAGACTAGATGTGCAAGGGATGAGAAGATTTGCCAGAGACGGAGTGAGGAGAAGAACCCATGGATCTGCTGAAAGGAACAGCAGTGAGACAGGAGAGGTCTGTTGTGCCATATGGGTCAGCTCCCTGGCCAGGGATCAAACTCATGTTGCAGTGACTATGATAGCTTCATAGTCCTGAGACTCAATCCCTTGTGCCGGGGGTGGGGGATGGGGGAGGGGAGGAAGGCAGTTGTTTTTGCAAATGTTTAAGATGAGCAATAGTGTGTTATAAATATCCTTAAAGCTCCATTCACTTTCCCAAGGCCTCTTTCCCTCCTGAGTAATCCATATCTAGAAGTGTGTGTCTGTCATCCCCTTGGATAATTTTGCCCTTAGCTACAAGTGTCATATGTAAGAGCATTGTCCCTATTATCTCATGGTTTATAAATGACCTCAAGCCAAACAGATCTTTGCCAGCAGTCCCAACACTGCTGTTTATTTGTAGAAACCTTGAACAAGCTATATCACCTTTTTGAATCACAGGGAGATGCATTAAGATGCTGATTGAATTAATTCTGGCAATCCTGGTGAGTAAGGATAAAAGCTGGAGAAGGGGAGACAAAGTTGATATTACATAGACAACAGATCTTTGTAACTAACTTGATGTGTGGAATAAGAATTGTGATTCTGATGCAGATACTTGGCCAAAGGATTATTGGCAAGCCCTGAGAGCAGGATTGTGTGGTTGGGGTGCTGGGCTGGCAAAGTAAGGGGATGGATTCCCTTTTTGAGCTGTTGAGTTGGGTGTGCTTATAGCACACCCTGATGGAGCAATTCAAGGGGCACTTGAAATTTTGTTACTGAAATTCAGGCACCAGTCCAGAACTGGACTTGCTTCTCTGTGTTTCTCTAGCACCCAGTATGCAATGTGTTTTAACTTTAGGATGGAGAGCTGCTCCCGAGGCTAGTGCCTCCTGTGGCATGTTTACCCACAGTAGGGAGCACTCCTCACTTCCACCATGTCTTACAAAACTCTGACAAGTGGAAACGAGAGACCTGGGGTGGAATCACCTAATTGTCATGTCAACCTCAAAGGGTGGTATTGTTTGAAGCATTTTTTTTCCCCTCTAATAGCATGTTGTGATTTTCTCATTCATGAACATACATAAATCCTCTCTGAAGATAACTTTTACTTTCACATTGTATGTATGCCTTAATGTTAATAAGTTCATAGATTTTATTAGCCTTTGCCTACACTTCTTTATATTTGCCTAAACTTGCCCCATACTATACTTTAAGGAGTCCCAATGTTTTCAGGAATTGATAGCAATATGTGTATACCGAGTTTTATTATCTCCTTTCCCAGGCATCTAGTTTGAAAATCCTAACTGTGACAATGTAATATCAGGGTAAGGGTGGAATCATAAAGGTGAAAAATTTCACCAGAGAATGGTGGAAAACAGAAAAGGTGGATTTACTGAAATACCCTGCAAGGGAGAATGGGGTGAGATAGAAGATGTACATCTGTGAGGACAGAGGGATTTGAGGTTCTCTTTGATGTTTTAATGAGCTTTGTGACTTGGAGTGCCAGTTCACATAGGTTGTCTGCTGGGATCTCTGTTCTTGGTGCTGCTTTTGACATAGAAGGTGTCCTGGGCCTGCTTCTGTGTTCTTGGAACTAGGCTGGCTTTCTGGACATGACGGTCTGTTATGGCCAGTTTGCATGGCAGCCTTACCAATGTAAGCCCCCCAAATTTGTCAGCTGAGCAAGGAGTGGGGACTTAAGTTTTTAATCTTATTAAATAATATCCAGAAACTAACCTTGAGTCTGTCTACAGTGAGTGTTTTTCCCCAGGAAGGAACTAGCTGGACCATTCACGCATCTCTTTTATTCTTCCAACCTAGTTCATGGACCCTTGGTCCATCTTCACTAGTTAGCAATTGACTTTTCACAGGGAAATGTCCTGTCCCTGCTAAGGGCTGGAAAGATGTGCTGACCAGTCTCCTTTTCTTTTGGATGACAGGAGCCTACCTAGAATAATTAAGGAAAGTGGAGGATATGGGAGGAGCTGATATTATTGGAAAGATCTGGGGTTTTAGGATAAGGAATAGCTGTGAATAGGATGGGACCAGAAGGTATTTTCTTGTCCGCCTCTTTACTTTTCTCGTGCTCTTTTCCTTCTTTTCTTCTCCCTATCTTGTTCCTCCTTCTATTTTTGTGTCTCTCTCCCAACTTTGGTTGTCTCTCTCTTACTTTGCAGGAGTGACATCTAGGTCTCATTCTCTTTCTGAGCCCTTCTTGATACCGCATCTTATTCCCAACTGTGTTTCCTTCTCCTTTCTTTCAGCTCTTACCTGGTTCTCTTTCCACTTTCACTGCCCCAAAACTAGCAACTGGCTCCCTCAGAACTTGTACCTGGCCATAATTGCTATAAATCCAACACTGACTGGCCTTTATCTTCTGAAGCCTGTGATCAGAGGCAGTGATCTCTCTATCTACAAGATCCTGAGCTCCTGAGAGGGCCTGATTGACTGAGCTATGTCTCAGGTACACCTGCACACACTGTGGGCCAGTCAGCCATGGTGGGGGCAGAGTTATAGACTCCTCTGTGAACTCTGGTGGCTGTGAATGAAGATAGAAACCCTGAAATGTCTGTGGAGATAGTAGTTATCAGGGGCGTTTAGCACAAGAACTCTGTCATAGAATACCTTAAATTAACTTTGAGGAGAATGGGGGGGATGACCCAAAATTTGGTTCAAGCTATAAATCCAAGGTTTCATAGTCTTCCTGGTCACCTCTGTACTAGTTCAAGGGTATACTCTCTGAAATTATGAATTTAATATTGTCTAATCAGACCAAGCATGGCATGAAATGAAGCTTTCAGTCCAAGTGTTTCATTCATACATCAGGGTGCAGAGATGAGCATGGTTGGTTTTGGTCACAGTGAAGAATGTGGACTGTAAACTTTTTGATACATGATGTGGAACATACGTCCCCTATGCAGTAGTCTCCACAGGGCCTGTGTGGGCTCTGCAGTGAGCAGCAGATAGTAGAGCCCACACAGGCCCTGGTGCCCTGAGGAGCTGCTCTCCAAGTCAGAGTGAGGCTCTGGCCCCAGGGCAGCCGCAGAATGCTGTCCCTTTTCCCACCCTCATCACAGGTGACCCCTCTTCTCTTCCCTCCATGGCTGCTGATGTCATGCCCTGGGTCCCTTGCCATTTAAGTCACAAAACTAGCCATGATTATATTTGCTTTGAGTGTGCTTTAATGAGGCCTGTCCCACCTTTATGCAACCAGAAAATGCAGAGCCCTAATCTTTTAAATTTCCAAATCTACAACAATAAAAAGCAACCAACAAAATCCAGATTGTGCAACTTAGTCGTAGAAAACAGGAAGAAGAGAACGTGATCTTCCTTCTACTTTGAAGATGGTTAGGATTTAGGAATCATGCCTCAAATTTAGTGCTACACAGAGGAGTACTTCTAGAAGAAGTAAAATTTACTCTTGAAGGTTTCAGGACTTGTCAGTTTGCATTTTATACCGTTCTACTTTTGCTACCTGGGTGGGTATTCTCATTCTCTCTCCAGCTGCATAGTCAATCTAGGATATTGTGGGAAACTCATTTTCCCATGATCTGAATTAGGTGGGATCCAGTTCTGACAACATGAGTTAATCATCACTAGAAATATTGGCAAGAGCTAGGGATGTTTATATTCCTCAGGGACAGCCAAGCATCTCCGGATAAATATTTCAGTCCAACTGACTGCGTTCTCTGAGCTTCCCCAAACTTCCTCCCCCATAAGGAGGATGAACAAGAGCAAAGTGTTGCCCTGGTAATTTACTTCACACAATTGGCCTTGAGCATTATTGGTGTTCAGTAATACATTGCTATGTTTCTTCTTGCAAAATTGTACAGTAGCTATATGACAGGTTTGCCCCCAGAATCCATTACTGATTACTTTGAAAGAAATTTTTGGCTAGATGGCCAAATTCCTGCAATTTTCATGTTAAGAACTTCCATCTCGGAGCCCTCCAGCTATGAGGCAGATTGTTAACAAGAATGAAAAGAGAAACACCTTGTCCTTGTGTCCCCTTTTTTAGAATAAGAAGATCTACTTGGACATTATTCACACATACATGGAAGTGCATGCAACTGTCTATGGCTCCAGCACAAAGAATATTCCTAGTTACGTGAAAAACCATGGCATCCTCAGTGGACGGGACTTGCAATTTCTTCTTCGCGAAACCAAGGTGAGTTTTTAGTGGTTTTGTAAAAAATCCCTCAGTGAGGTCTTTTACAGGTTTGTTTCCACTGGCTTTGAAAATGGGATCAGAATCTCTCATACTACAGCAGCTCTTAAGATCATTTTGGGACTGTGGTTTTGGACTGTAGCTTAAAACTTAATTAATGACGGAAGGGGCTGCCTCAGTTTACAGCTGATTTTCAGAGGGTCAATTCTGTGTCAGGTATTAAGCAAAGGGTTGGGATATGGCAGCCAGCAGAAAAGGTGTGGCCCCACCTGGAAGGTCAGGGTTTCCCTAGAGCAGAACTTTCAAAATAAACCACTGTGTGTTACTCTGCTTGCACTGGGACACAGCAGAGTGTCAGTCAGGTGTCAGAAATTGAGCCAAAAGCCAGAAACCAACTGAGCTAATCTACGCTGGGATGGGATAGAAAATAAAATAGTCCAAGGAGCTGAGGGTCTGATAGTCATAGACAGAGTCTAGTTCACATCATGAGATAGCGGGGGGAGCCAAGGATGGAGGATTCTTTCAGTAGTATGATGAATGAGAAAGAAATGTCTCCATCCTTTGTGGATTTCTGCTGTGGAAGTCCTCAGTGAAATGAGGGGACTTGCAAATAGATGGAGTTTAGCCTTGAAGGACTGACTGACATTTCAGTAAGTTCTCTCGTGTTTATTAAGTTCTCATTTGTGAATATTACAAACATTTATTTAGCAACTTCTTTGTGCTAGGTACCGTGAAAGGAATACAAGAGTGAAGAAAACAAGTACTTGGTGCTTGTTTAAAGCACAGGGTAGTTTATGGCCAACACTAAAGATTCAGTTCTGGTCCCTAAGTATGCTTTCATTTTCAAGGTGACAGGGAGAGTCTACGTGGATGGGTTTCTGTGGCATACTTGCGATTGCTAAGCATTGTGTAATGTTTTATTTCCGCAGAACGTATTTACATTTGCTATATCATTTAGTTCTCTCAGGAGTTATTGCTAACTTTAAACATAAGGAAATAAACTAGGGGATTTGGCTTGTCCATAGTTACTGGGATCAAGACTTGGAGGTGGCCCTAAATCTTGATTTTTTTCTTTATTCAAGTTAAAGCTTTGCTAGGCCTGGCATGTTCTACCCTCATGACCATATACCCAAACTTCAGAACATGTCATGGATTCCCACTAGCCAAAACATACACATTTTTTTTCCTACCTCAGTTTTTCAATATGCAAACCTACTTGGTCATTTCTACAGTCAGGTCATTCCTGTGATGCCATGAAGCAGTAATTTGATAAATTATTTATCCTTGGCCAAAGACCTGCTTTGTTGCAGTTAAGATTATTTCCTTACCAAGGTAGGTCACCTGTGGCTCTATGACAGCTGTGATGTTCTAGGGGCCACATCTGTAAGATTATTTCCTTACCAAGGTAGGTCACCTGTGGCTCTATGACAGCTGTGATGTTCTAGGGGCCACATCTGTCTTCTCGGTTGCAGTCTTTGCTTTCTGCTTGCCCTCTATCATATGGTGACATCTTAGAATCATTAGAATATCTGGACTCTTTTGTGGCAGTGCTATTTCTGCCACTTACCTCATTTTGCTTTTCTCCACATCAGATTGTGGGCAAAGCTCACACTCCTTTAAAATTACATTTGGCAGTGCTGGTTTTCAGCAGTGTGTCATTACTGTCTCACACGATTCTCTTAGCCCAGTCTTGCCAATGTCTTACTCAGCCTTGCAAATTTTCAAAGAATCCTTACTTACCTACCATCCATTTACCCTGTCAGAGAATGGGAAGTGGGCTAAAGCTGAGATCCCCGATGGCTTGGGGAAGACAGAAGAGGCCCAAAAGGCCAGACCATGATGTCAAAAATTGCAAAAGGACCAAAGGTTACAGCTTGAATTTTGAGTGCGAGGGGCATATATTTACCCTTGCAAAGCGGATGCTTTCAGAGGATGTCACTGATCCCATTTTGTATTGCCTACAGATCTGACCAGAATATATTAATGTACTCTGAGTGGAATTACAGCTAAAACAGTTGGCAAGTATGATGAAAATGAGGCAGTGTACATCAGAGGCTCCCCTGTCACCCAGAACACAGCAGCAGGCACTAAAAATTAATAAGACTTGGACTGTGAAATAATGACACTAAAGACCAATCAGGCTTTGCATTTATACCCCTTTCTGTCTCTAACTGTCCTCCACCTCTGAGCAATTTTAAAGCTATTTATTCTGGTGCATGTTAGAAGTAGAGACCTGGAGATGTGCAAATCCAAATGTCTATGGAATGGCTGAGTCCACACCCACTGTCCCAGACCCAACATCAGAGGGAGTCACCCCTGAGGTTTCAGACCCATTGAAATGACAGGTGCTTAATCAGCTTTGACTTACTATTTTTCTTTATGAGCTATCTTTGAACTCCCACCCCCACCAGCCCAAAGACCCTTGGCTCAGCACAGTTTTATTCTGTGCACCCTGAGGGTCCTGGGTGTCACTAGCTGACTGGCAGCTAGTGTAAAGGCAGGAGAAATTCAGTATAGCACTCACAGCAGGGCTGAAAGAGTGTTGAAGTTACTGCATCTAGAGTAGGCATGTAAATTTGAATAAATTATTTATCCAAGGACCAAGGGCAAGTAATTCAGTCCAGCCAACTCCAGGAGTGTAGTTGAAGTCAGCAAATAAGCCCTGGCTGCTGTGGCCTACTTTTGTTTTTTGACTTAAATTCTCATCTCTTGTACTCTGATTTCTTTATGGACCTTCCCGTGTTAGCTTCTGTGTGCTCCCCTCCCCTAGTCTTCCCAGAAGACACTCCTTACTAAAGGGGGCATTGCCTCTTACACTGGTTTGGAGAAGTGTTTGAGTGCATCCAAGGGGTTGTGAGCCAGCATAGGTTGTGCCCTTTCTACAGCAAAATGTAACAACAGATTCCAGTGTGGATATAACTGCTGCTGCTTGTGCTGGCCTGCAGCCCTTCCCTATCCAAGCCCACACACTCCATCTCCAACACCTGGGTGGCTCTTCATGACCTTGTACCCCTGCCATGTCAGCTCATCAGCTTCCCTGTGGGACTCATCTAGAAGTCTGGACAGGATTGAAGACATGGAGTATGTGTGGCACTCAGCCCTTCCCACCCTCCTCTCCACCTCCACATGCACCCCCAGTCAACCCTGACCTTCCTGTGACTTAGGATGTGGTTATATCACCTTTCTCAAAAACCAAAGGCTGAAACAGCTGCCACCCACCTTCCCCAACCCCACTTCCGGTGGAAGCATTCATTTAGCTCTTTGAGGACAGAGACCTGACTTGTGTTCACAGGTACATTTCCATTGCTCACAATGGTACCTAGCTTGTAGAAGGTTTTTAGGTAATCAGGTAACTGAATGAAGGAAGGAGTCAACATGAAATCTCTCTGGGATCTTGGAGGAGCGATTTCTTTCTGTTCTTGTGAATCATGTATCTACATGTCCAGGATCTTGCCAGCAAAGGGCACTGCACCTCTGATATCCCATGCCAGCCATATCTTGGTATTGGCCATGTCTCGAAAAACAAGAGAGCTTACTTGCCAACAGAGCAATCTGTCTTCCATTTGCATTTCACATACCGAGATACAGGCCATCCAGCAGGTTTCGGCTTTATGGTTAGTTCCTAGGATTACTCCTCTTCCAACTACGGGGGGGGGGGGGGGTAAAACGATACATACATACTTATTCCTCCACCTCTCCTACACCCACTTGCACATACAGGATATAAAATGTGTGTGGGACATACTTGTATGTAGAATGAAAAGTGGATAGAGAGGATTCAGTAACCTGACCTGTATAAATGCTCACGTGACCACCACACTTGATTGTTGGCCAGCTCTCAGTGCCAGGAAATCTCAGTTGCTCACCACTCCTGAGTCCATCACAAGAAACAAAATCCAGGGTTAGGAAAATGAGGTTTATGTGAAAAACCAGTAAGCCAAGGAGAGGGGAACTCAAATCCTCAAGAAATCATCACAATTCCTGGCCAAAGAAGGGGTGAGGGTTTTCCTAGCAGAGTGCAGGGCAGAAGGAGGTAAACTTTCTGTGAATCAGTCTAGGTGCTTACTCACAGTACACCTAAGTAGAAATGCCAGTGTTGTAGAAACCCACAGCCACAACACCAACACATCTGAACTTGAGCTGAGCAGTGCAGGTCATGTATTTGCAGCTGCATGAAACTATTGAATTTGAACTTACACTCCTGTTGAGTGAACAATTATTTAGGGCTAAGCCTAAGAATATATCCTTTCCATGAAATATCTCATTTAATCCAGAAGCAGTAAAGCACTATTATTTTTCCCATGAAAAGATAGGTATAGAGAGCTTGTGTTACCTTGTCTGAGGAACCTCGCTGAACAGAATAGATGACAAAATAGTCTCAGATGAGTCATAGAATGAGGTGTGTAATAATATCCCACACCTATGATAAAAGTCAGAATTGAAACACCGGTCAGTTTTGCTGACTCCAGAGTCTGTGGTATTAATCATCCCATTGTTCTGGCCACTTGTGCCAGCCATCAGTTTTCTGGTTAAGCTGAGGTGGATTCATTGCTCAAACATTGTCCTGAGCCACACTGGCTCACCAGCTTTACTAGTTCTAACTAATCAGAAAGTGTATATTGAATAGTGTTTATTTTGGTTTATCGGTCCCATCAGAGTGACTAGAAACTGACCAAATCCATGGTGTCTTCCTCAGAACTACTTTTATCTACAATTAAAGGACTTTTGTTAACTACTCCACAGAGGGGTTTAAAACAATTTTGTTTCCCCTTTATACAAAGTAAAACCGTGAGGAGTTTTACTGAACTCTTTGTCATTGTGTGGGAATGTCCAGATCCTGTGCCATGAGTAAAACGTATGGCGCTTCATCTGTTCTCTCTTGCTTAGTATTAGTTCAGAAATTTAATTTTAGAGCATGTAATCCCTCTGTTTAGAACTGCTCGTTGATGGAACCAGAGCTGCAACCATGGAGATGTTCCGTCATCTGGAATATCCTCATTAAATTCTAGGCTTCTGAAGGCCAGATGAAGTATAAATAAAATATGCCCCATTTCCTCTTGAAGAGTTAAGGATGCACTTGAATGCATTCTTGTGTGTCTTTTGCCCCTTGGAAAGGATATTTGTAAGTAGGCAGAATGACCAGAGTGTTTGAGGGGAGCAATTTAGGTGTGGATAAGGTACCAGAGAGCCACAAAGCCATGAGTGCTCAGAAGTCTACCACCCTTATATGGTGGTGATTTCTCCCTTCCTGCCCTGTTGTCAATCAAGCCTCAAGTGTAATTTGACCTTATTGCATCTGCTCCATTATAATGTCACAGGTAATAAGGACACAGGAAGCAAGAAAAAAAAAATGCTTATTGACAGATGTGACCAAAAAAAAAAAAAGTTATGTTGGTGTTATTTCCAAGTAATGTATTTCTTACAATACTAATTAGTGTGACAAGAAAACTCATTGCCAAGAAGTTGGGTGGTATTTGCTTAAGCTTCATTCTAAAATCATGAGTCTTTGAAGACTTAGCCTAAAGTGTTTGTTTTATGTGTACTGATGCTAGCAGAGCAGAAAGAGATGGTGCAAATTGTTACTCAGATATAATTAAACCTAGGTCACATTCAAGCCCATTAAACAACAGCATCAAATCTTTTTAATTAATGGGTTCAGATTGGTTGGTCTGAAGTAGCTAATTAAATTTTTTCCAGGATTTTCTATTTAAATAAAGCATTGTGGTTCCTACAAAGTTCTTTTTGCAACTTGAAGGTATCCAGCCTTCATGGCACTCCCTGATTTCTGTGGGCTGCATATCTTTGGTTTAAAGCTTGTAGCCCCTGTCTGCATCTCCCAGCACCTACTTTCTCAGAATCAAAACGGTCTAGAAGCCCTATGCTCACCCACAGCCTGAGGGAGGTTTCCTCTCTCCTGTAAAGAGGACACATTTCTCTAAAATCTGATGGGGGTGGGGAGTAGATCTGAGATGAAAAGATTCAAGGATGTAACCCTCGGTTCTCCATAATTTCATGATGCTAGGATACTTTGGGACTCGTGCCTCCTATTTTCTTCCATTTTTTCTGCTGTTGCAAGGCATCCCTCACCATCAGCTACTTGTAGGTTATGTGCCATCCACAGTCTTTCTCCAGTAATCTCACTCTTGTTACTTAATGAGATCCAGAAACAGGGTCTCCAAATGGTGATGAGATATTCTCATAGACTCCTGCTTCCATGTTTTCTCTCTCCTTATGTTTTCAGGGTTCTGCCCAAGAGGCTCTGAGAGGCTCTGATGGACTCTCTAAGCCACCACCACCACTCCAGCCTTGGAAATCATCTCTAGGCTGGAAAAATCATTGGAAGTCAAAAAATAAAAATTCCTCCAAAGCTCATAAAGGTTAGGTAATCCGTGCAAAAAAAAAAAAAAAAAAAAAAAAAAAAAAAAAACATTTATAGGCTAGGATCACTCCAGACAACCTGAAATTTTAGTTTCTCCCCCCAGAAATCCCTACCAGGGCTATATGACTCTCCAGTATGTCAGCCCTGGAACTGAGTAGAATACATACATTCTGCACCTTCCACTATTTCGCAAGGAACTTGCCAGCTTACACTCAGGGCTCCCTAAGCTGAGCCCTTCTAAATACTCATTCAGTAAAAGTAACTGCAAAGACAGGGTTGCTGGGGAGAATAGTCAAACATGTAGCCATAGCCAGTTGGCTACATCCTTCCCTCTCAGGGCCTGGCTGTGTGGGTGTTCATCAGCATGATGGCAGGAGAAAAGGGTGCTCTGGGGCCATTATCTTTTGTCACTCTGGGTTCTGGAAACATTTCAGAATTGGCTCCTTGATGTGGGTGGAAAGTTCTCAAATCTTACCATGCCAAGACTTAGACCCTGCCCATCAATTAACTCTAGCCCCCAGCCGCAGCAGTGTGAAATGGTCAGAGGGGAGCTTATACAGTGAGGCATTTCTATGAGATGTTGCTTTGGGGATCCAGGAATCACTGGTGCCCATGAACTGCAGTAAGTGCCCTTTGTCACAGGCAGGCTCAGCTGTGAGTGCTAACAGGACTTTGAGAGTGTGTTTTTGCTGCCATCTATTGTCTGCTATGGGGAAAACGTGTGGTTTGCCTGCAAGAGAGGGAAGCATTGGAGGACTCAACAGCACCCTTTTCCCCCATTGAGGGGAAAATAACCAAGAGTCAGAGTCCCCAGTGAAAACCCCAGTATGAAAACCTGTGTTTCCTGACCTGCCATCATTTTAAAGCCACTCCATTTGAACTGTAATCAAACCACTAAGTGACCTTTCTGTCCCTCCACCCAGCATCACTGAAAGGCCCTGTTGTTCCTTTAGTTCAATGAAGAAACCTTCTGTTTAGTTAAGCAAGTGTTTTTCCAGTCATGTCTCCTGGTGAGTTACAGAAAGATTATTGTTGGATCTTGGGTTTTGTTGTTGCTTGTATTCTGTTAAAACCCTCCCTACCCCCTCAGCTATCCACCCCTTCAACACTTATTTCTAAACATGAAAAACATAATGATTTGAGTAGATTTACTAGCCCCAAAAGGTCCCTGGTCATGTTTTTCAGATCGTGATGTTAGCTGACTTCTCTTTGCCCCACCTAACAAGTCCTGGGAACCTTCCAGGGGCTCTGAGGTCTCCCCACAGAACAGGAATGGAGCACCAAACAGTGCCCAGAGTGCCAGGAGTAGCAATGCTGGTTGATAAATTTACATGTGCTGTGTTTTTCTTACAGTTGTTTGTCGGACTTGGGTTTCCCTATGAGGGCCCAGCTCCCTTGGAGGCCATTGCAAATGGATGTGCTTTTCTGAATCCCAAGTTCAACCCACCCAAAAGCAGCAAAAACACAGACTTTTTTATTGGCAAGCCAACTCTGAGAGAGGTAAGCAGCCATAAAATCATTTCATTTGCAATAATATGAATAATAGCAACTGAGTGCTAGCAGTGCATTTAAGACTCGTGGCCTCAGATAGCAGTTATTATCAACATCATTTGATGTAGTTGAGTGGAACTATGGGTGGAGGGAGGAAATGCAGAGTTGCTTAGAGAGATAAAAGATTTGATTACATTCCCAGAGGGGTAGAAGCCATGATAGCTTGAATCTATTTCTATCCTTAAATTGTGAGATCTTTTCACTTCACCCCAACTGTATCTTAATTCAAACAAACATTGCCACTTTTCTAATAAGCTGATCTCTTATACTCTGAATTTTCAGAGTTTATGGAATAATATTATCACCTAGTTAACAAGTATGGGAAATAGTGGGCAGTGGGAAGTCTCAGCCTTGAAGAGAAGGTACAATACAGAGACTAAAGAGAGGGTCTGTTATAACAAACCATCCAGTGGGGGCTATCCTGACAGGTAATCCTGCCATGCCACTGCTCAAACATTTTGTCAAAGCGTTATTTGAATTGCTCTCAGGATCCTCTTGAAATCCATAGTGTGTGATGAATCACCATTGGAGGCAGTTAGATTCATTTGGGGTAATAAACAAGCTATTTAGAGCATGAGAGTGACCAAGCTGGGCGCCTCTGTGTAGTTGATGAGTGGTCTGTGGGTGATGAGAAGCCTGTGTATTTTGGTGTCGTCATGGCGCCCTCATCTCCAGGCTTCTGCCAGGGGTGACACTGACGGTCACCCCTCCTGTGACTAGCAACACTACAGCAATTATTTTTAAAGTGTGCATTTTCCATTTCCACAACCTAAAACTTCCTGGGTTGAATCTCCTGTCCCATTTCCCCCCCAAAGCTATTTACAGTGCATTTTTCCTGACTATTCTCTACAAACTAGTCAGATATCTTACCAGTTCACAGGTTGATTATTTTGAGAGGTCATTTCTTTGAGCCTCCCTTTCTTTGGAGAAATGGCCAAAGGGGATGAAGAATATCAGAAAAGTCCCATAGATTGTCTTCAAAAAGCCAGCCTGTGGCCCAGATAAAATCTGAGAAGGATTAGCTATCTGTGTGTATGTGTACATGTGTTTCCATGCGGGCTAGCTTTTTCCTTCTGCTCATATAATAAGTTTGAACCCTTTATTTTGGGGAGTGATTTCTTCTTTGGAGGCGATTCCTCAGCCATACTTAATGCAGCCTGTGTGTTAGGGGCTGTGGGAGGTGCCAGAGAACAGAGATCAGAAATGTTCATTCTGGCACTGAAGAGCTTATTCTTTGGAAAGCTTTAAAGAGGTGTTTTCCAGCAATGAAAATGCTTTAATTTAGGGATCTCTGCTTTAGTATATGACAATTTGAAACTTTGGAATTTAGGGTAGAAATACAGGCAAATACATCATCCCTGCGTTTAAATTTAGATGTAGGAGTCCAAATTGTACAGTTATTTAGATTGTCCATGGGTTTTTTTTTTCTTTTTGGATAAAATATGCATCATATAAGACTGTTTTACCCATTTTTAAATGTAAAGTTCACTGGCATTAAGTGCAGTCACTGTTTTTTACAACCATCATCACTATTTCCAGTAGTTGCTCATCATTTTCACCGCAGAAGCTGTTCTGTTTAAGCAGTAATTCCCCATTTCCCTACCACCACCACCTCTCCACAGCCGGGAGAAGCCACTATAAATAGTACCTATTTTAGATAACCAAATGTAAGTAGAATCAGGCAGCACTTGCACTTTTGTGAGTAGTTACTTAGTATAATGTGTTGAAGGTTCCTTCCTGTTGTAGCATGTTTCAGAACTTCATTACTTTCTAATGCTGAATACTATTCCATTTTCTAGCTATGCCACATTTTAATATTTGTTCTTCTGTTAATGGATACTTGGGCTGTTTCCATTTTTTATCTGTTATAAATAAATATGCTGCTGTGAACATTGAGTTTTGCTTTTAGTTCTTTGAGGTGTATATCTACAAGTAGAATTGTTGGGATTTACTTTCTGTCTCTTTAGAAATAACTTTAGCCTTACAGAAAAGATGCAGAAATAGTACAGAGTTGGGTATATCCTTCACCCAGCTTCCTATGATGTAGCATATTATAATACCACAGGACAATTGTTAGGCCATGACAGTATGATGGAAAGCATAGTATTATCTAAATGTCAGATGTGCCACTAATACTCTTTTTTCCCCAGAATCTAGTACAGGATTCCATTTTACATTCAGTTGCCACTATTTCCTTTAATCTCTAACAATTATTTCATCTTTCATTGTCATTCACAGCCTTGACACTTTAAAAGAGTATTGGTCAGGTTTTTTTTTTACATCTACATATACTGTCCCTCAATTTAAATGTTTGATTTTATAATTTTTTGGCAAAATATTACAGATGTGAAATAGCCTTCTGTGGGTATTTTATCAGGGGATGTATGACATCAGTGTGTTGGGTTACTACTGGTAATAGTAACCTTGATGACTTGGTTAAGACAGTAGGTTTACATGCTGTTTTTCCACTGCTATAGCATTCTCTAGTATGTGGCAGTTGGAAAAAATAAAGGGAGCTAGCTAGCTTAGCCTCCAGAGTAAGGGTGTCAGCCCTCTCAACCCAACCCGTCCTTTTATAACCTTTAGTACCCCTTTTATTATTCTTGGACATTTACCTGCTTACTTCTGTAATTTCAAAAGACCATGATTTCCCTAACCCTAAAAGAAAGGGGTGATAAAGTAAAATAATTTACAATGAGGTAACAACATGTTTCAGTCTGTGTGAAGTTGCCATTGTCCCTTATAACAAAGGAAATTCTTTGAGATGATACTAAGTATCCTGTCTCAAACTTTTGCCAACTAATCAGTGGATCTTGCCTACAACTGTTATAACTGTGATGTTCTGATGGTGATTGTCTGTTTCCTTTTCATGATTTTCTTGAAAGAAACCCATCTCTTTCTGGAATTACTACATACAAGTTTTTGGGAAAGGGTTAATGGTTAGTGATTAAAGTTAGAGCACTTTGGTAGTAAGCACCTTCTTACTATTCATAATTCTAAAGATTAAGATTACACCTTGTTAGAATCCAGCTTTGGGGGCGGGGCTTGTATTTGTGTTTTTTTGAAGTACCATTGGTTTACATCACTGCCTGTGCTTTAGTAGGTACAGGTTCACACCTCCAAATGTGTTTTGTCTTATCACACACACCACCGAAGTAGTTTTACCTTAAGGCACTTTCTTTTTAACTGAAGTTCATTGCATAAAAACATAGATAAATTTTAGGTGTGATTGCTGAGATTTAGCATGTGTGCATACTACATGTAGCTCGCTGCCAAATTTCAGTTCTATCCTTCATGAGACCATTGTCCCCTCTGTTGGCATTCTTAAATACAATCTGTTTCCCAGTAAAAATGTTGCATAGAGCAGACCAGCCAACATGAAATTATTGACAAAAGTATGTATGTTGTTTCGTACGTGGTGTTTCCCATATCATAGTCATCATCTAGCGATTGGCTTTTTCCTGAGATCAGAGAATTTTCGTTCTTCATGGCATAAAAAGAGACGATGCATTGGAGCTGCCACCCAGGCAGACTGCCCCTGTCCCTTCCCATGACTCCACCAGAGTATAAATGAGACTCCAGTTAGAATGGCAGGTGACTCCAGATAGATGACTCCATCAGTCCTAGGCTCCCACAGGGGGCGAGGGTGCAGAAGGTCAGTCGACAGATGTTCATTGTGTCCCCACAGGACCCCTGGTGCTAGTTGCTGCACAAGAGGAACTTATCAAAACATATTTCCTGTTTTCCAGGAGCTCACAATTTTATATAAAAGAGTGATAAAATATGCATAATAAAAGGAAATGTATAAAGAAATAGCTAAGTGAATTTAGGAGGGTAAGTTAGCTTGGAGCTCTGCCAGGTGGAAAATGTGCAGGGTGGACTCAGAAGAGGATGGGAAGGGTGGAAGAGGTACACTGTAAAGGAAGAGAGATGTGAAAGTTGGTAATTGGTAGAGAAACTCCTCAAAGGTCAGTTTGCTTTGAGCAGAAGGGCAGGATCCATCTGACGTCTATCTTCTCTGCTGCAGAAAATGCACAGAGCAGGCTAGAAGCCAGGACACCATGGCTTCAGGAAAAAGCCCATGAACTTGACCTCACAACCACATGGGCTAAACACTTTGAGCTCACAGAAGTCACAAAATCCTCCTAACTAAAGATACTTTTAATCGGGAAAGAGCTGTGTCAACAGTCCCCTTCAAAACTGTCTTTTTTTTTTCCTTCCAGCAAATGGAAAATTATAACCAAAGTACACATAATTACAAAGCTATCTTTTTTAGCCAATCAAATCTTTCATGTTAAGCAATAATAGTTCCATATAGCTTGTGTGTGTGTGTGTGTGTGTGTGTGTGTGTGTGTGTGTCTGTGTCTGTGTCTGTGTCTGTGTATCCCTTCTAAAGAGCCTCATTGGAAGAAAAGCATAGATTTTAAAATATGATTTAGTTTTGGTTTTGTTTTTGCACTGGACTAATTTTTAAAACTACAGTGTACTCTCGGGGTGGTGATGGGGAGGGAAGTTCCCTATAAGTAATGTGGTCCGTTCAAATTGTATTTTAATATAATATAAACTTCATTTTTATTTTTATATTTGGAAACATATTAATAGATTAGTGATCATTATTTTGACATTTTGCAAACCATTAAAATTTTCTAGTTTTTCTAGATTTAAGAGTTTCTTTCATAAAGAAAACTCATGTTCCCCTTCGAGACTTAATAGCCACTTGAAGTAATGTATCATATTTAATAAGACTTTCATTATTTTTACAAACTATACTCCAGTAAATTTATTGATTGATATACAATGAAGTACCTCAGATCACACGGTTCTCAATAAATTAACAAGAAGGAGCATAACATTCAGAGGGGGAATAATGAATCACAAATGACTTTCTCATAAAATTAAGTAAACTCACAAAATGTAAATGAATAAAATGATAATGGCTCAGCATTTTGTATTTTCTATGTGCATCTTAAAAAGAAATCTAATACAGACATAGATTCAGCCTTGGAAATTTGTTTAGATTGGCAAAATTTAAGAGGGTGCTTAAGAGGTGTGTATTTATATTTGGCCTTTTTGGCCTTTACCTAAAGAACTCAGTAGCATCCTTTTTACTTTACCTCTCCAGCTAATAAATTGTTGCAAGATGTAGATTTGAAATTGCTGTGCTACTTCCAGACTATGGTCTTCAGGAATTGTAAGCTCCACTAAACCTCCAAATCCTCAATCATACACAGGAAACCTGTCCTCTCTTGCTCTTAGTGAGCACAGTGCCTGGCGCAGCCAGAAGCTTTAATATATGTTGAATCTAAAATATCTGCTGGGGGATGGGACAGGTATTTCCCCAGCCACATGAACCTGTGGGCACTCTAGATTCCATCACTGACTGGCCAGAGGACTAAGCACAGGAGATGAGGTCATATCAGAAGACTGAGCAGATCATCAAAGAGTGGGGCTCTGGCCAAGGAGCAGGAGCAAAATCTAGGCTACCTGCAGCCCTGGAACAGATATTAGCATAAACTGCTGCTGAGGCTCTGGGTTTCCCAGCCTGAAAAGTGCTTGTGTGTGATAGGCTATGAAGAACAGGGCTTAGAGTGAGATGGAGGAGTATGTGCAAAATTATCCAATTCTCTGAGTATGTTGGAGTTGGAAAAAACAAAGGAAGGTGGCTTAGCCACTAAAGCAAGGGTCTTCACCCTCCCAACTAACACCTCCTTTTATTACTATCTGCTGAGCATCTACCTGCTTATGTACGTAATTTTGAAAAAAGGATGATTCACTAACCTTAGTAGAAAGGGGAAATAAGCAAAATAATTTATAATGTAACACATGTCTCAGAAGATGTGCAGTTCAAACCCTAAACCACATGCAAGAACTAACTAGAAGACATGTCTCATTCCTCCTTGTAATGAACAAGTTTATATTTAAGAACAATAAACCATTTGGTTTAATTTGTTTATAATTATGAAAGAGGGGCTAAATATACAGGTACCTGTATTTATACATGCATGTATTTGGATCCACCCATGTATCCACTAAATGGGTAGCTGCAGATATAGACTGCAGCTATAGATGTAGCTAAAGACAAATCATTTGATACTGACTTTGCTGCCATGATTTTTCAAAAATTGTAATAGTGATGTTCCAGATATAACAAAGTTCAAGTATCCCTTGACTTCCACAGTAATAATGTGCCTGGGAAAGTCAGTGTGTATTACAACTGTGCTAAAGAGTTAAATTCTATGAACATACATGGAAGCCCAGAAAGGCATCTGGAAGCTGTCTGGGCAGTGAACAGCTGGACCCCGTGTGGGACTGCTATGCACAGTGTGTGCCATCCTTGGTCCCCACCATGGGTTAAGAGCAGCAGCCCCCATCATTGTGCGAACTTGGAATGCTCTCACAAATGTCCAGAGTGCTCCCTTAAACCCATGACCTTGAAGGCATACAAGAATAAAGGAAGAAACAAGCTTAAGGGGGGAAATGAGCTACGATAAGGGTTAGAGTCTCAAGAGCTGAAAACTATAAGAATTTATACTAATTTCTTTGACCACCCTTGGATCTAAAAATGAAACTCCCTTTACAACAAAAAACTTCTTTAACTTGCTTGACTGATTGTAAATTATCTTTATGAATATCAAGGCTCCAATGTTATGTGAATAGTTATTTTAAAAGCTCTTTTTCTGATATTTTTCTTTCTATCCCCTTTTATGTCTTCCTATGAGTTTAAAGCCTGTGAAGATTTTATTGTAATTTTCCTGTGTTTCTCTGTCAATCTTAAACAGTATTTTTTAAAAACTAGTAGTAGTTTAATCGAGGTGATTTTCAAGGCTGGGTTTAGAACCAAGAGTAGATGCTCATTATTTCTTGGTGTGACTTTGGGGTTGAAGCCAGCAGTCACGGCCTCCATGTCATCAGGATATGACACTCCAGCTCCTCTTTTCAAGGGAGACTCAGGCCATCATCACTTTATTGTTACCTGTTCACAGGAACTTAGGAGGTTTAGATCAAAGAGAAGGTAAAAATGTCTTGCTACCTACGTAATTACCACTTATACCGTAAAAAGCGTTGTGTTTCATTTAGCACAGTCTTTTTTAAAACAAGGCAGTGTTGTGAGATTGAGGTGTTGTGTTTCTCCTTCCCAGCTGACATCCCAGCATCCTTATGCTGAAGTCTTCATTGGCCGCCCACACGTTTGGACTGTTGACCTCAACAACCAGGAAGAAGTAGAAGATGCCGTGAAAGCAATTTTAAGTCAAAAGGTAGTTTCTTTATTCCAGCTTTCCCCTCTTGTAATGTGAACTGGAATTTGTGGAAAACATTTCAGGCTTTGTGTTTGACTAATTTGAATGTGTCCATACTGTTTTAACTCTGGAATTAGAAAATGGCCAACCTGTTGGGTTTGACCTGAGGGTTTCATGAATGTTCTGTGAAATGGAAACAGCTGGTGTGCAGATGTGTGTGCTGATTCCACAAATCCTCTGACAGGACCCTATGTGCAGGCACAGGAAGGAGAGTTTGTATTTTACTTGCTTCTGTCACTTACTGATGTATTACTCACCAAGGTCAGAAAAGATGGGCCTGTTCTACTCTAAAAAGTGAAAAAAGAAAAAAAAAGTGAGAAAAATAGGATAAGGATTAAGGAAATGCTGAGAAAAAAGTTTTTTTGCAGCTTCAGTTTGGTTTATCTTTACCTAAGCATCTTAGAAAATTTTGTGTAAGTGACATCTCTGTGAGGGATGCTCATTTCCATAAACGTGATCAAGGCTAACAACTCCCTTTCCATAGAAAGCTTACACCCTGTGCACAGCTTAAGTAGCCCTCTCTCCTGAACTGCCTTTGGTTCAGTTTGGTGCTCCCTGCTCCCTATCAGAGCACTTTTTTTTACACTCTGATATTTGTTAAGGAAAGCAATATAGGTGAGGCAAGAAGAACAATTGTGGGTCAGACAGCTTGAGTTTAGGATCCACCTCTCTTACTAGCAGCATCCCCTCTGACCTCTGTGCCACTGTTTCCTTTTCTCTGATATATTCCACTATTCCTGACTTAACAGAGCATTTGGGAGGAATTGGTGACATAATGAATATAAAGTGCTTAGGTGTGTTGTATTCTGAAGCATAGTGCCTAGTCACTGTTAACGTTGCATATATATTATTTTTGTTGTTGATAGAGTGGATTTCCACTAGTCTATAAGCATTATGAGGGTAGGAAAATATATCTGTCTCACTGGGTAGCTAGCATAGTGATTTACCTAACAGATGGGTGAGAAACACGGAGGGAGGAGTAGGTGTTTGTAGATGAGCAGAGTATAAAACAGTGTATAGTCAGTACTTTTAACAGCATAGAAAAGATGAAGGAATGGAAGTGGAGAAGACTGTCTGGAGAGTGCAGCATTGACTTAGTCTCATAGGTGAGTGGGAATCTGCAAAGCTTAACTGAGATGTGTGGCCAGGAAGGCCTGTGTAGATGGTGTAGTGTGAATAAAGGAGAAGAGGCTAGAAAGACCTATCTGAAAGGAGCTGGGGGCCATTTAAAAAGCCCTCTTTCTCTTTTATGGGACAAGAATTGTGTTCCAACTTCAACTTAACTAGAGCATCTGCAGGGGAACAAGCACTCCAATACACTGTGTAAGTCCTACTGAGCGTTGGTATAGTTTCTCAGAACTTCCATTAATAACATCTGAATCCCAGTCTTCACAGTTTCAGGCAGCAGTGCCCTCGACCTCTCTCTGGTGACCATGCTGAGAGAAGTGCTGAGCCTGGCATCACAAGGCTGCCCCAACATATCTGTGATACCCCCAAAGCTTCACCCCCATAGTCACTGCTAGGGATATCAAAGATTCTTTTTCTTGAGTCCCCAAGTCCCTTAGTAATTCTTACAGCTGCCTTCACAGAACCACAAGCATAGTGACTTAAGCAGCAGAAGTTCATGCTCAGTTTTAGAAACTGGAAGTCCAATACTAAGATGTGGCTGCGGCCACGCTCCCTCCAAAGTCTCTAGTGGAGGAGCCTGCCTTGAACTTTCACCTTCTCATGGTCCAGTTGTGCCTTAACTGTAACTGTTGCACTTTGTTCTTTCTCTCTAGTTTCCCTGTCGGTCTGTCTCAGCTGCTCAAAAAGACAACAGATGTGTAGGATTAGGGTCCACCTTAATGCAGGTGACCTCACCTTAGAGTGATTAAATCTATAAATGTCCTATTCCAGATTAGGTGACATTCACAGTCACAGGGTGTTAGGACTTTATCATACCGTTTGAGGAACACAGTTCGGCCTATAACACATAAGATCACATGTCCTTGAAGAGGACTAATTTAAAAGCTAATGTAAAAGTAGAAAATCTTGGATCATGGAGTCCAAAAATTTTTTGGTAATAGATCCGCTTACTAAATAGAAGTCCAATAGGAAAGCCTGTTACATAAGCCCTGAGGGTGGGACTCTAGATTCCGTCTGCTGCCTCTTACTTGAGGTGGTTGTGTTCATGCCACTGAAATGATAGCACTCTAAATGTAAAGCCTTGATTGACCTTTTCCACCCATATTCCAAAAACTACTTAAGGCCACTTTTTAAAAATGTAATTATAATAGTATGTGATATTTGGAAAAACCTTCTTTTTGCACCTCTGCTATCTGTGGATACATCTTTCTGAATGTTAGTTAATCCTATATAGTTATATGATGGAAAATTGAATCTTAATTTACTCAAGACCAAACCACCAGTAAGTTGTAGAACCTATATTGAAATCCAAGTCTTTGGATCTCTAAAGATAACGAAGTTAAAAAGAAAAATCATATAATAAGGGACAGGTCAGAGTAGGAAAGAGAAGTAAGCAGTGAAATTAATACAAAAACTATTTAAACCCTATGCTATTAGAAATGCATCAGAAATTTGGTGCCAAATTCTCTCACATTTAATTACAAGATTTTGAATTACATGACAAAAAAGCAATCCATAGCCCATCAGTAAGAAAGGAAAGTCAATCAATCCAGACCTAGAGATGGCCCAGATGTTAGAATGATCAAATAGCAACTTAACATGTTAAGAATAATACATTAAAAGACTTGGTGATAAAGGTAGACAACAAATGTGACAAGGTAGAGAATTTCAGCAGCGAGGTGCCTTAAGAAAAAAAAGAATCTTTCAATGGACTTAACAAGCAGAGAATATCAGTTAACTTGAGGGCTTGTCAGTAAAACTTAGCCAAATGGAAACATAAAGAAAGAAAAAAAAAGTGAAATTTAAAAGGATTTGAGAACTGTGGCAACAGTATAGCCCAACTAATATGTAGTTAGAATCTCAGAGGAAAGAGAAAATGGCCAAAAAACATATTTGGAAAGAAAATAGCTAGCAAATGTCTAATGTTTATGAGTGGCAAAAAGCTGTAGCTCCTGGGAGCTCAATGAACTCCCACCAGGATAAATATGAAGAACACCTTCAGGTACATCATAATCAAACTACTGAAAAAAAAAAAAAAGATAAGGAAAAAAGTTCTCGACGCTAGCCAGAGAAAATTTTATTACATTGAGGGGAAGAATAATATAAAAGATCACCAGGCCTTCCCTGGTAGCGCAGCGGGTTAAAGCACTGCACTAAGAAGCTTAAGCCACTTCTGCATGAGTTCGATCCCCACTTGCCCCGGAGGTGACCACATGGCGTAGCAGACCTCTTCTGACCTGCCCGCTGCTGCCCATACTTCTCAGTTGGCCTGTTCTGCTCCCCACTCTGTCTCTGGTGAATCCTCTCACCGCCCTTGCATCTCTGGCCTGTACCCCAGTTCTGTATGCAGAAATTAAATCCTTAAAAAAAAAATTTAAAAAAAAGATCACCAACTTTTCTTCAGTAATAAGAGACCATGAAAGGGTATTCAGGAGCCAAAATGTATAATCCCTTAAACAGGCCTTGATAAGGCCTCTATATTTTATTCTAAGTATGAGGGGTAATGTTGAGCAGAGGAATTACATTACCTAGTAAATCAAGGAGACAGGACTCACTCCTAGTCTTCTGGCACCTTCTGAGCCTGAATAAAGCCTCCGCAGGTGGGGTCATGGATGGATCGCTGATCTTTGACAGCAATCCCTATAGGAACAATGTAGAAAAATTGAAATCCCATAAGAGAGATTAAATAGAGATGGGAGGAAAATGGAAGCTTTCCAAGGCCTCTAGCAACTCCACAATGCAGCCCGCAGGATTCTTCCTGTGGCCATACAAGTGACAGTCCTTTTTTCACAAAAGATAAACAAGAACACTCCCAACTTCTCCATGACTGCTCCCACTTTCTCAGTGACTAAATATGGTTTCAGCATTCTCTTCATTAAATACCCCAAGGGGCTTTGGCTTATTCTTGGAAGGACTGCCATATAGACAACTGTCACATACAAGCCCCCAATCAGCACATGGGATTTTCCCAGTACTCTTAATCTTTGCATTTAAGGGTCTGGAAAGTTCTATATAAAGGGCCCTGCTCCTGTCCACAGGATGACTGGTAGCGTTCCCTAACAGATTTGGTTTAAGAATATAATTTCCTTTATTTGCATTTCCTTTATAGGAAAATCATTTGGCGTCATATCCTTTAAAACAGTCAACTGGGCACAAAGCAATTAATGAGTCAGCATCTCTTTGATTAGACTGGATTTAGTTGGTAACAGAACAGAGGAAGAGCCATTTTTCTCTATTTATTGCTTTGGGCCCTTTAATTTAGCTCACTTCCATTTCTATTTTTTTTTTTAAGATTTTTTTATGCATACAAGAACTGGGGTACAGGTCAGAGGTACAGGGGGAAGGAGTGAGAGGAATCACCAGAGACAGAGCAGGGAGCACAATAGGTGGATTGACTGAAATGCACTGCTGAGGGGAGCAGCAGGTGGGTCAGGAGAGATTTGCTGCGCCATGTGGGTCCCCTCCCTGGTTAGGGATCAAACTCATGTTGCAGTGGCTTGGGATAGCTTCATAGTGCTGTACTTAACCCCCCTGAACCACCAGGGAGGCCCCACTTCCATTTCAAATGGATGTCCTTTGGAATATGTTGTAGGAATGACCCTCAAGAATTCAGTCTCCTCCCCACCAAATAATCAGATCTGTTGATCTCATCCCAAATGACCACTAATACTTATTTCACTCTAGAAATTCTCTTCTCTTTATTCCTTTATAGATGAATCCAATATGTCAAGTCTTGTGATCCATTTCTTCTTCTTCTATAAATTCTGGGGGGGGAGCCATATCTCTCAGACAGCTAGAGAAAACTTCTGTACTCACCCATAGTTGAGTAAATAAATATCACTTAAAGAAGAGGGGGAAAAAATTCATTTGCTGTGAAGGGCTATGATTGGGTCAGAGATGGAACAGCAAGTATGAAACTTGCATTAAGAGTAAGCTTAGAATATAGAAGTCAGTTTTTCCAGAGTATTCTGAAGTCCTCAGAGATGAACTATATAAGAACGGAATTTCTGTTCCTGCAGAATAGTTGTGCCCTGATA